ATATACTCCAACATCACTGGCGCATGGTAACAACCAACTGACTGCAGACCATTTCCGGTCACACATTACTCTCCATAACCCTCTAGTTCCGTCACCTCTGGATTCAGAGGACCTATAGTAGAATTTACACTAGACCTAAGGCGAGAGATGAAGATGCTTCTGCATAGCCTAGAAAAGAAATATCTTTGTGATAGCTAATTCAACACTATTGCTTTGAAGACAAAATCCGAGCATTTCAACACCTTTAAATGCCCTCTAAAGAACATATTTTTCTATTTTTTTTCTCCATATATTTGGGAGGGGTGTGGCCCTGAGTTGGCGTGGACCCATTGGCTCAGGGCCACTGTCTTCCATTTGGGATGACCTATTTCGTTTTTTCTGGCTAAACCTGTGGTCAGTGGTAATACAATTTTCAATGTAAACGAAAAGAATGTTCGTCTAATATAATTTGACATTAATTATGGTATCAAGTTACTTAGAATAAACACCTACATATCACTCAACATAACATTGTTTTTAAAATTCAAGGAAATTAATAGGAACATAATAATTGAAATGCACTATACTATTAGGTTCAAATTAATGTTCAAGGATTATTGTCAATCATATCCCTATTCATAATTCATTTCTTTTGTAAATTAATTTAATTTTAGATGCATTATGAAAATGTAATGAAAAAAGCTTTTGAAATTTCAGACTAGTCTTGCTTTTTCACCAATATGCTTTTGTGGTGTATAAATGATATTGCATTTGTTTCTAAAATGTCATACAGTAGTTTTAGGAGCATATTAACACAGCAAGTCAAGTAAAGGTGTATGAAGAGTATATGAAGTCTTAATTTATAGTATAAGTCAATTGATTCCTACAGTTGACAGAATTGAATATAAATATCACCTCATCCAAGGAGGTATGATACAGTACATTGAAACATGGAATTTTTTATTTTATTTATTTATTTATTTATTAATTTCGGGTATAAAATTTAAAAATACAAACTGGCAGCAAGAGCTGAAATAGGTTGCATTACAACAACAAAAATATTACAAAATTACAATATAAGAATTTACAATATATAAAATTTACAGGATAAATTCAAAAGGGAAATACAATAAAATTAATTAAATTAAAATTCATTCATTAAGCTACAAGAAAAATAATTTATCCAACTACTGTATACAATTAACTAATTTTTCATTGTCATTACCACTAATACTGTATTAGTGGGACTGTAAATACAGACAGATGTACAACTAAAATATGGTGGAACCGATGAAATCCCCACACAGCAGCACAATTAACTTGAAAAAAAAAATGCCAAAAGACAATAGAAAAAAGTCATTGTTGCATGGTAGGTTAGATTGGTGGATTCCTGAGCAGCAGGAATACGTGTTAATTCACTTGTTATACAGGTGGAGTTTATAAGCAGTGTCTATCACGCTAGTACAATGGTTTGTGTCTGAACATACCCTTAAACACCTTGTAGGAACTCGTCGTGATCTCAACTACTGTATGTGAGAAGTTTACGAATACACAAAAGTTTAGCACGGTAAAAAACATCACAATGATTGACTCAATAATCAGAAATAATCTTAAGCGGAATCCACTAGGCTTCCAGCAAAGCCTGGAAAGATTCTCGGTTAATTCATACATCCTTGATTGTTGCTCAAAAACAAAGGAAATCACGCAAAGAAGCCCAGGATATTGTTGTCCGAGAAATTTCAATTCTGACAACTGACCTCCAGAATTTTGGTCCAACTTACTGACAGATACAAATGTCATATATTCCATATAATACATTATTTAATAGGCCTTCAATATGATTATAAAACAAATTAATCCTAAACAAATTATTGACTCAAATATATTGAGTGTGTACAAATGGAGTGAGAAAAAAAATATTATCAAAGCATTTGAAACTGCGGTATTGCTTCGGTCAATCGAGATGAGTTTGAGCATAGGTTTGATTGATTTTGTCCTTCGGCCAGGCACCTTACTCACTTGTCTCTCCTCACATAGAAGTAGTATTAAATATGCGAAGGGCATGAAATTAATTTACTCTGGTGCTAATCTAGCTAAGAATACTTGCAAGAGAGGGGAGGCGTGCAAGTTGCGGATAGCACAATAAGAAATTTATCGAGTGACCAGGGGCAATAATAAAGTGCCTAAGTCGCTAAAATATGCATTGTACAAGTCCACCATTATTGTTATTTGTATAGCAAAAGCGTGAATTTGTTGCTAATAACTTGTGCAGCAATGATATACACTGTATTGTAGCTGATCATGCACAAATGCAGTTTGACTTTTACCAGCTTGCAGAAGTTTTCAAAACAATCAGCATGAAAGTGTGCTAATGTGTTCCAAAAAACATTAGAATACAAAAATTGTTAGCGGAATGTGCTCGAGACATTTATAAAGGTAAAACTAAATCATCAATAGGAATCTATTGATGATTTATCTATTGATCTATGACGCAGTTTAAAAAAAAATTTATTTGTTATTGCTATGAATGATGATTGGTTATAGAGGGCGCACACACCAAACAACGCACCAAACAATAAGAATAAAAAAATTGTTAGCGGAATGTGCTTGGGACATTTGTAAAGGTGAACCTAATTCATCAACAGGAATCTACGTGATGCGGTTTAAAAAAAAAAATATTTGTTATTGCTATGAATGATGATTGGTGATAGAGGGCGCACACACCAACCAAACAACGCGCCAAACAATAAGAATTAAAAATTTGTTAGCGGAATGTGCTTGGGACATTTATAAAAGTGAACCTAATTCATCAAGAGGAATCTATGTGATATGGTTTCAGAGAAAATTTTTTTGCTATTGCTATGAATGATGATTGGTGATGATAGAGGGCGCAGATACCAAACAAGGCATCAAACTCATATAGAAACTTGACATTGTGTACCTCACTTTGGCCCCTCAAACAATTAGTTTCTTTTGCCTGTGAATGCAACCCTCATTAAACTGCAGATCCGATCCAAGTTTACGTACTTTATTTGATCTATCCATACTTGTGCACCAGAGATACTTATCTTACGCTACAATGGCATTCATCCAGGTGTTAGGTAATGTAAATGCAAATCATGATAAATGCCAAAAAATGGATTTCAACTCACAACAAAAAAATCTTGGATTAGTCAACAAAGTGGCTGGGTAAAAAAAATCAAACTGATAGATAGCGGTATTTCTACAATATAATAAATAATTGCTCAATCCAATTGTGCATTTTTAAAAATCTAATTTTTCAAAAATTATTTTGGTCCTATATCAAAATTTATTTTATTAAAAACATTCTATATGTATTTGGATTTTCCAGGGGTTTTCCCATATTATATGAATGAAAGTAAACCTTTTTAAAGTACAACGAAACAAAAAATGAGTCTGAAACTGGTAGTTACAGATGCTTTAGTGAATCCCAGGTTCCTGCAAGCAAATCCTGGATTTTGGACAAAATCCAAGATTTTTGTTTCTCACGACTGAAAACAACTCCACTTCTTAAGCGTCTTAATGAGACTAATTTTATAGCATTAATGTCTATCCTGTAACTGAATTACATGCAATTGGATATAAGAGAACTAAAAGATTTTAAAAATTGGCAACTGATCTGAAAGCCTCGATAAAAAGGAGGCGCCATAGAGTGCAGAACTGCAATAAGAATTTGATTCTTGTGAATTTTTTTTCAATTGGTGTGTTAAAATCAGTGGTGTTGTCAGGATTGATAACAAAAAGGCAGAAAAAAATGTTAGGGTGGGAAAAAAGATAATATGAAGCCAAGAGTCAACCAAGGGCCATACCTTTATGGATGGAAAGGGAGGTTTGGGAGGGGCCGTCCTGTGGAAGTTTGGAAGGGTCGTCCTGTGGAGGTTTGGGAGGGCTATCCAGCAGAGGTGGAAAGCTCAGACCCGGCACATATTAGAGACAGAATATGATTATCTTGAAAATCCTATACTGTAACTATATAGAAAAGTGTGAATGTATAAATATGTATGTTCATTTTCTATTCAAATGCTTAAACTACATCAGTCACATTTAATGTAAAACAATGTTCAAATATATATTAAAAAGAAAATTATTCAAATTATCACTTATCAAATGCTTTATAGTATATTACATTAAAATTATAATTTCAATTAATACTACATTTACACTAAGCACGATAACGACATGAAAACACGACAACTACGTGATATATATCCGATCAGTGATGAAGAACATAAATGACGCGATGATATGTCGTTGTGTCATTATCATGTCTAGCGTAAATGTAACTCTATAGAATGGATAGATCATCAATATTATGCAGGAAAACCAAAGGAAAAGATATGAAATTGGTGAGGAAAACCTCCCATCATACTAAGATTTCAGTGAATATAATGCTCTAAAGTGAAACAGTGAATTTCTTAGAGTAGGAGAGGGCCGTCGGTTAAATAATATTCCCCCTCCCACCCCTTTATATATATTCCAACTCATTAGCTGTTGGATGCCACATTACAATATGTTGCTTTTCTCCCTCAGACATGCCCACACCGCTTTACAACCTCAATACAATTCATTTGGCTTTAAATCACGTTTTGCTATTTATCTCGAAAGCAATCTGGCAAGACTAATTCTATACAGATGGCACAGTTTCTATGAAGCTAACTAACTCCATACTGCAGCTTACTGTAACATTTCAAAGAAACAACAAACAATGCACTGGCTTTTCAGTTAAATTCTAGATAATAGATGCTTCCTATCAAAATTGACATATAATAATTATTATATCGTATTTATTTGAATAAACACCTCCCTTGCTTATGCCCCTGGCATTTATTTTTTCCTCAAATTAACACCCCACATGTGACTGTAAATAAATAACAATCAGAACTAATTCTCAACACATATTATTTAATGTTCTACTCAAGTAGAATTACGTTTATCCTAACCTGGTTACGATCAATAAGTCTTTATGATCATGAAATCAGGCAGGCCATTAGCCAGGGTCTTCCAAGGGGGGTTTCTCTGGATGTGGGATCTAGCGAAACCCCTGAAGCCAGAGGATTTCTGCATTTCATAATTTTTGCGTCTAATAATGCTATAAAAGCATATGTTTGAAAAATTTCTACAGTATAACATTCCATCTAGATTGGTCTGCAGTGCATTAGTTGAGTTTGAGGACTTGTTTGAAAAATTCAAAGGGAGACGGAGGGGTTCGCCAGAAAAAAAGGGAGGTTTGCAAAAAAAAGTGGGGGGGAGAGGGGGTTTGCCAGAACCATAAAGTCGGGGTAGGCTTATACCCAAAAAACTACGGTATCATAACCGCCTAAAATATGCAGTTTTCGTCGCACGATGGTAACCTTAACGTTAACGGACGACGTCATAATTTATCCATCTTTGCGTTGCGGAGTATGTTATATTCAGGATTTACGTGCTTGACGTACGTTATTTACAGGTTTGCAGATGCATATTTTGATTTGTTTACAAAAGGGGTGGAGCTATCGTGCTGCATGTTGGGTACTAACGTGATGGTTAAGGTTAACGAGCGGCGAAAACTACTTAATAACAACAAATCTTACCAAAGTCAATACTGGGCAGAATGTGCACTCTACCTGTTTGGTTTACAACAGGCATATCAGTCACTTCATTTGTATCTGAAATTAAAAATATAAACATTAAAAATTATAAAAATGAACCTACAGTCACAGACCATGCCCATAAGCAACTCAGCATAATGACGCCGCTAGTTATGAGTTATTCTCTTACCTACCTTTACCTTTAAATTGCTACCGAGACATTATAGAAGAATCGGCCATAATTCAGGGTCTAGGTTTGAATCTTTGAAAGAATTCATAAAAATAAAAACCACTTTCAAAAGGGAAATTTTCGCAAAAACTTATAGAATTTAAGCAGCGCCTGGGAGAACAAAAGAGAAGTATATATTGCTGATTTTTCTGGTCGTTTTAGGAGGATAACATTAGCAATAATAGCAACAATTAACATCATTATGATACGTATCCCCAATTGGGGTATCCAAGCTGCTGTCAATAAAATCAAATTATGAGGTAGAGCCTACTAAGATATTAATAAATTTGATGCTAACTCTAAATGACACCTTCATCTGTCTAAAGACTCATATCAATTATCTATTGAATAAATGTATGCTTTGACAAATTGATTAAAAATTCAGATTCAATTTGTTCATTTTTATATTGAAATCACTCAAAGTTGTTCCTTAATTTCCCCAGCCAACGACTAATACATTTTGACAAATTGTGAACTGTGATCTGCTTTACAGGTGTTTCCTCATTCAAAAAGAAACAGTTGTTCTTAATATTTATTTAAGTTTATATGCGCATCAACATAGGATGCATTGTATTTCAGTTATGTGCAATTCCCTGAGGAGCAAACCAGTTCACCCCTCACATATTTCTTTGAACACATCATTGCTGGGAAAGGACCTCAGGATGGTGGGGATGAGGAGATACCTACGGTATGACACAACACCTCTTCTAGTGGACTAAGTGAGTAATTCTTGACTACAGTGCCACTCATAATCGTGTTTTCAAATTGTAAATATAACTAGATAAGATATAATTCACACATAGTACAGTTGACAAACTAGGTCGGAATTTTTTAGAATAAATAAAACAAATCCTAAAAACCCGGCAATCTTCATCAAAACACAATAATCTTTAATAGAATACTTTTCTTTCAATGTATTACTCTAGATCTTTATTTACAAGCCGAAGATGTACGGTTTGATTATCCAGGTAAAAAAATCATAAAATAAACAGACAATCTGAATTTTATTTTTGAAAATACTGCCAGATTTTTGGTTTTTTATGTGAACATGTCACAATTATATTTTATTTATAATTTTGAAATAACATTCTTTCCTATTATAATTAAGCATTGAATAATATTTCCATTTATGATGCTTATAAAAATGATGACGATGATGACAACAAAAGCGATGACAACAGTGGTGATGATCGTTTAAAAACAATATTGTCACATGAAATGATTTAAACCTCAAACCTTTTGATATTATTCTTTGGCTGTTCTACCAACTGAGCTATGTTATTCTAATCATGGACTCACGGTAAATTGTATTGAACATCTAACAATTGTACAAACGTGTCTAAACGTGTAATCAATTAACCATTTAACAGGGGTGGAGTAATGAGCTAATGGTTTCAAATATGAATAAACGGGTGACTAGTGCAGCTTCTATAACAATATTTTTGGACGCATTAGGATAGCTTTATCGTAATACAATAGAAAACGCGTCAGAATGTGATTCTGTTGTTAGGAAATTGGTGTAGATGACACCTAAAAAGTATTGTATTAAATGAACAATAAACAGATACAGGCAAATAAAATATTCATTAGTTATGGAATGAAATAATAGTAGACAATTTTGACATTTTTCGTAATCTGCTTATTGCCTTTAGTATGTATTATTAAACATCATATTTACCTAATGGCTGTATTACTTTCAAAAACTTCTCATCTTGTTTAGAGCTGACAACAATACTGACAGGCTCCACCTCTTGACAGACTGTGAATAAAGAACATCATCTAGGTAAAAAAAAAATATTAAACTTTGGTGTAAATAACCCATTAGTATTTAGACTTACTGTAGTTCATAACCCATCCATTTTTGTATGGATGGATGGATGGATGATTGGATTGATTAATGAATTGGTGGAAAGATTGATAAATAGATGGATAAATGGATATAGGAGATGAATTGATGGATGATACATGTGGATGCATGCATGCATGGATAGAAGGAATAGATGATGCATGGATGGATACAAGATGGATGCGGATGGATACAAGATGGATGTGGATGTATACAGTGGATATATACAATGATATATAATGATCCATGTAGATCAAATGAAGGAACTTTTATACCAGGAAACATCTTGTGAAGAATACTGTCTGATTCAGTCAAATATAGCGCACCGACAGTGAGTTGAGCACAGACAGTGAGTTGAGCACCGACAGTGAGTTAAGTATCGGCACAGATATAGTCTGTTTCAGATTCAAACAACGATTGCGTCAATACATATTTATCTCACTCTTTATTTCAACCATGATTGATCTGTAACTATTTCTGATTATAAAATTTATATAAATTCATACAAAATCCCAAGGAAACTAGAAAGAACACCGTCATACATAGACAGACAAGTGTTATGTTATGTTACTGAAGTAATTGGTGATAAATATGGACATGTTATGTCTGGTACAATATCAAAACTAATTGGTTTTGATACAACCGAAAAAATTGAAAATTCTATTAAAGCAATTCAAGGGGCGAGAAAAGGTATAGGTCATGAAGAAAATTATACACATCAAGAATTTCCTGTTATTTAATCCTTGCTTATAAATAATGTTACAGAAGGGTGGGTGATGAGGCGGTAATGAGTGGTTAAGAGTGGCATATGTTTCTAGTCAATGGCAGTACTGTTATTTATTGGCGGTAAAATATTTGGGTTTACTTTATTTTATTGGTAATATATTGGCAGTATGTCATTTTTTAGAATTCAAAATAATTTAGTCTCTATGTGCTTGTGTTAAAAATCACCTAAAATCACCATATTTTGCGAATTAGCACCCCTCAACTGATCATCGAGCCCCCACACTTCACCTTTTGCGCCCCCATTAGCCAACCCCCCACCCCCAATTCAAAACTTCTAGATACGCCACTGGTCATTATATACTGAACCAATAGGGAACTTTTGTTTTGAGTGACAATGTGATCTTCGAACGGATTCACTCACGCTTGAAGGTCCTACTTGTCCTGTGACAAGGTAGATTGGGCCAAACTCGACAACGAAAACTAAACGTCTTAGCATGCGCAGATGATTCCAATATTAGTAATGTTATTACGTTCTAAGTGCAATCAAAATCATACAAAATATGCAGCCTCCTCCACTCATCATCATTGTCATTTCATTTCGTGTTTGTTTTCCTATTTCCAGACTTACACATGGTTCATGGTTGATAGCCTACTACTATTCCATATTCATTACGCTTGGTTCTCCCTGATGTCTAACTCCGCTAGGTCCTTATTAATTCTTGCTTGCCATGTCATCTTTGGAAGATCATCTGGTCTTCTTTCTGGCACATTCACTGGGTAGTATTCCACTCCACTTCACATGCCCAAACAATCTTCCAAGTATTCCTAGTTATAGCTAATTTACCCAGTCATTTCCTGTCAAATACCTACAACTACTGTAGATGGAAAGCTTACCTCGTTTTAGTATAGTGAAATTGACTGTTTCCGGGATATCTAGCATTAGGTGTAGCTGAGATGTTCCGGAGTCATAGTATGCAACTCCTAATAGTCCACTATGCCAAAATACACTCATGTACTTCTGTAATAGTGAAAAAATGACATCAATAAAAAACAAAACACTATTGATAACATCGACAAAAGCTCGCACTAAGTTTACATCAAATCGTGCTTTGTTATATTAGCAAGAAATTGAGATGTCAAGGCATAAAGGGGGAGGGGACTCGAGACAGGCATATGTCCCTATATCTGCCTCTGCATCCATTACTCTATTTAAGAACATTTAATTTAATTATGTAGGCTGTCATAGCTATTTTGCAACAACCAAATGGTGATCGAATGGTCTTGAATTGAAGTCAAAGCATTTTTGGATAATGAAACCTTTAAAAATATTTATTGATATTTCATAATGAAAATATTAGTAATAAGAAACAAAAAACATGTTCAACAAAAAATATAAACCAAAAGAAACATACACAATAATTAAAATTGCAGTATCATATTTCCTATGACAATCACTCCACTGCCGTCCACATTGTTTTTAGCACAAAGCAACAATTTATTATGACCTTCGACCCAGACCAAGGAGACAGCGCACATTGATTACGATCTTAATCATAGGAATTGAGGATATTTCTTAGTTATAGAGGAAATAATTTGTCAATATTAGTTTATTCTATTGATAGTTTTAGATGATTTAGCAATAAGCGTCATATTGAAACCAAGTTAAATATATATCGACTCCTTTAAACGATAGCGGAAGACACGATCTTTGATGAGAATGATTGGATACATCTACATATTTGTCACTTATAATTTACTTAAAACTAAGAAGAAACAAACTGGAAACATCATTTACACATTTGTGTCTTGAAGACCTAAAATAAACACTGCGTTCAATTCAAGGGCAAGCTTCATATATTAACAGGGAAAGAACCCAATCCCAACCCAGCCCGTCTTGATCCTTATCTGTGATTATTCGAATGCTACTGTATATATCAGCAATGTATGGCTACTGACTCAAGGCCTGTCCAACAGTATCCTACTTAAGCACTGACCACTGATTACACAGAAGTCAGTAGTAGGAGCACAGAAAGGGAACCTTGTTCTTGCAGCTTACAGCCCAAAGGGAAAGATTTAGGGTGGGGGTATCTCGGCCCCGGCCTACCCCTTTTGAAAAGTTAAAAAAAAAAAAAATCAAAAAAAGAAAGAGAAATTATTGATCATCCAGAATGCCTCAGAGGTCATTTCCGGGCTAGAAAACAATTTTGAGTGGTCCCAGGATCCCCTTTTATAAAGTAAATAATAAACAAATTTAAAAAAAATAAATAAAGAGAAGTTATTGATCACCAAGAACGCCTCAGAAGTCATTTCCGAGAGTAGGGAATGCTCCATGCTACTATGGAGGGCCCAATGAGGCTAATTATAGGGGCCCTTATTAGGTATTTAAATACTTATTGTAAATTATTACATCACTCTTTTTCATCCTGCTTGTCTTGTCCTACCATTCCCAACCTTTTCCACTCCCCATCACTACGGGAAACTGTAAATTCATGGCCAACTATTAGAAATTCCTATTACAATCGATATGCAGTACACTTCTTAACCTATGCTAACACATAATTTGACCAGGACCAGTTCGAAGTCTGGCTCAAGGCCAACCACCAAACCAACCCAGTTTATGAATATAAGTATGAACCCTAAATGGAATGTCCTTCAATATTTCCTGTGAGTTAATGCCCCCTATAGTCTGTCAGTGACATTTACTGTTTTTCTGAATTTATCAGTGTAGGATTGGAGAAGAATCGTAAAGAATGATCAACTCCCTGAGAATGATAGAACAGTGAAGCATTCCAGAACTTTTCACTTGAAAGTAAAGAGGATTCGGGAGCAACAGGTAAATCAATCTGAATAAACAGTTTTGAATACATTTGAATGAATATTTGGAAAAACCACCAAGACAATAACTAGAAATATCATGGCAGAACCATAGAAATTAATATTGCCTTGGCATTGGCTTTTGAACATTTTAATTTAGGAATGTTTAATACACTTTTATTGCAGGAATAGAAGTACATAGTCTATAAATATATAGTTTAAAACAAATGCTTGACTTGGAGTAAATATACCAATGAGAGAAAATATACCAAGAACATAGCCTGTCTCTTATACACATCTAGATGTGTATAAGAGACAGCTCTTTTTCATCCTGCTTGTCTTGTCCTACCATTCCCAACCTTTTCCACTCCCCATCACTACGGGAAACTGTAAATTCATGGCCAACTATTAGAAATTCCTATTACAATCGATATGCAGTACACTTCTTAACCTATGCTAACACATAATTTGACCAGGACCAGTTCGAAGTCTGGCTCAAGGCCAACCACCAAACCAACCCAGTTTATGAATATAAGTATGAACCCTAAATGGAATGTCCTTCAATATTTCCTGTGAGTTAATGCCCCCTATAGTCTGTCAGTGACATTTACTGTTTTTCTGAATTTATCAGTGTAGGATTGGAGAAGAATTGTAAAGAATGATCAACTCCCTGAGAATGATAGAACAGTGAAGCATTCCAGAACTTTTCACTTGAAAGTAAAGAAGATTCGGCAGCAACAGGTAAATCAATCTGAATAAACAGTTTTGAATATATTTGAATGAATATTTGGAAAAAACCACCAAGACAATCACTAGAAATATCATGGCAGAACCGTAGAAATTAATATTGCCTTGGCATTGGCTTTTGAACATTTTAATTTAGGAATGTTAAGTCTGGGGCAGATGCAGGATTAGGTGGTAGCGGGTGCTGAGAGTCCACAACATCCCAATAGAGAATAAGGACCTCTAGGTGCCCAAAAAATGCACTCTCATACCTTAAAACTCTGCCCGCCAAACAGGGAGATCTCCGTGTTTGGTAACACAACGCATGACCACCAAACACAGATCTCAGTGTTTCAAGTTTTTTTATGGAATCCGATAGATGGGATAAATACCGACATGTACTAACAATTTGAACACTATATTCAGTCTGGACCATAAGTATTTCACTATTTGTTTGTTTACATTAGCGTAGAGTGGTACTGATTTACCTCCATGAAATCGCGATTATCTCAGCTTCGTTGTGCAAAATTGTATAAATCTCCAAAAGTGAGTCATTTTCATTTTACTGTTACAGGTCACAGATTGTGATTAGAAAAAATGTTCGGTACCATTGCAAAGCTAAAATGTTTGTAGTTTTTGTAGTATTAATTACATGTCAATCTGATCACATGCACTCCCAATGAGCTTCGGAAAAGTGTTAAAATTTTCTAAAATGTCAGGTGGTGGCTAATACTACTTTTTCAAACCCTGGCAGTCAGAATGTTAAAAACCGGTAATTCATATCAACAATACAATACAATTATTTTTTTTAATACAATTCAGGGGGAAGGGGTACAATCGCACCGTCTGCACCCCCTGCATCCTCCCCAGCAGATAGCATACTTTTATATACTTATGAGTAATGTTTAATACACTTTTATTGCAGGAATAGAAGTGCATTGTTGATGCGTAACCCATAGCTGGCGGATCATTGTGCTGAGTAGCATATGGGCATGGTCGGTGACAACTACAGTACCTGTAGAAAGGTGCTTAGTTACTTAATCTTCACATCATTCCACAACGATAGGGACTAAAGTAATTTAAACCAAAGCATTTGGGTAATCTATATGCTTCCACAACAACAGGGACTGAAATAAGCCAGAGCATACCATACTTTATACTTCCACTAAACACAATGGGTTTTTTAAAGTGTGTATGTGTAGAAGGGATCTCTGGCTTTAAGTTTTTAATCAAAATGACTTGGTGTTACCAACCAAACAAGCGCAACGTACTGTAGTTACAGTAGCTGCACCTCTGTCTTACCACTCAGTGAAGCAACTTGCCCAGATACATCACTCTGAGAATGGCAAGGCTAAATGAAGTGTCTTAAAAACACAACACATATCTGTTACTCTACATTGTTATTCTGAATCACACAACCACAGGAGGTACCGCTGTACTAGGTAAACTAGGGTTGTAGTTGGAGAAAACTGAAGGTGGCTGATAGATATTTTAAGGGTGGTTATGTGATAACATTGGTAAACTCTAAATAATAACAGTAAATTTTAAGGATGGAAAAGTGAATTAATAAGGGTTGGTGTAGGGCAATTAGCTTTAGACTGGGTGGCTCCACCCAACTCTGCCCACCATAACTACATCCCTGGTAAACATACTATATCCAGCAGCCGTATATTGCTGGTACCAAATTTCTTGACTACAGGCAGTACCTTAAATGAAGAAAATCTACCATTACCAAGAACATGGCTTGGTGAGAGTGCACCTAGAAAGTAGACATACCACGTAGCTTTACAATGTTCACCATGGTACCAAAGTGCTTGAATACTGGTGCTACTGCACCTTGGAGTCCTTAGGAGGTTGGCTTTACCCACCAGAACCAATACCTTAAAAGGAGAAAATCTACTAAGAAGTATTAAGTAAATTTGTGAAAGAAAAGGGAAAACATCCAGGTAGACCTACATGCTGGAAATGTAGAGCATTAGTGGAAATTCAGCTTGGTGGTTAAGGTGCTTGCCTTCCAATCCCAAACTCCTGGGTTCAAATCCTGTGACAGCCACAATATTTCTTTCAAACAACTACTGTAAAAACATCCCAACTACCTAAGCCTAGTAAATAAGGTTTATGAAGCATTTTATAATTATTTTAATTATTTTGATCTCATTTACTTAAGAGGGCCTCTGAACATCAGCTAAGCTAGAAGGGTTGCCCTCTATAAATATATAGTTTAAAACAAATGCTTGACTTGGAGTAAATATACCAATGAGAGAAAATATACCAAGAACATAGCTTGGTACAGTGTACTTAGGAGGTAAACTACTCTTGAAAAGTGAAGACACACCAGTTAATCTACTTTACTTGGTACACTGCTTGGTGTGGTACTGAATCATGTGAATACTTGGGTAACTACTGTACTTGAGAATGTGTCATGTCATTTGAAAAATGTGGCAAAAAGTAATACTGTAGTAAATTAAATTAGTCAAAGAGCAGAGGGCTATAATGTTAATATTTAATGCTAGGCAGCAGGCCAAAGATGAAGGCCCACCCAATAGTTATGTTTACCATCATAATCAGAGCTGAGATGGGAACAGAATATAGTGGCAGTATGCCCTATAAACCTACACGATGCCCCACAAGCTGCCTTTGCCTCTTTACTTTAAACTCCATCATCTCATTGGCAGACTACGCAAAGAATACAAGATGATTTATAGGTTGAAATTACAAAAGGATATTTGGGAAATAATATAAGTTGAACTTACCTAAGTCGAATCCAAAATGCCATTGAAATATTGTTTGACTTAGATAAAATTTGATTACAGATTGTTAATTAATGGAAATCACAACAATTTGGCATGTAAAATAAAATCGACTTAGAAATTATTCGACTTAAGCACAGTCGACTTAGGCCAGTTTAACTGTGTACTCACAAACATGACAAAACTTAATATCATATTTCTATAGTGTTAAAAATCATATATAAGTTAATTAAAATACTATATGAAATAATTAGAAATTAGAAAATATATCCTACAAATTATCAATAAAACTAAAAATAGAACACAGAAGATGATATAAAATAGCTTACTTTTTGGAGGACAAGACTGATGGTATATTCATTTTCATTAACATTTTAAAAGATTTTAATTTTATTTTTTAATTTAAGCTATTAAAGACTGATGGGTTATTAATTTTCATTAACAGTTTTTAAAATATGTATTTCATTTTTTAAGCTATTCAAGGTACGATTCAAATTAGTGTTAAACAATTCACCAACCGTTATGCAATAAATTAAATATTTATTGTAAAGATTCAATTTTGTGATCTTATTTTTACTAGCATTTCCCCTTTTTATCATTGGCCCCTTGGCTACAATCCAAGTTTTTTGCTCACGGATATTTAATTACGGGATTGACACAGTGGGGATTAGACCAGTATATGTGAGCCATCTTGCCCCTTCCTATCATCTTTTGTCCCTCCCTTGGGATGAACAATAGAACGCACAATAGACTTGCGCCGTCAGATGCCTGGCCCGACGACAGCAATATGACAGTTGGCTTACGATAGTGTAGCAGGTGCACGTTGGGCTATGCGTGGGGAGGAAATTAACGGGCTGCACAAGGTCTGTTTTGCTTACAGCCTTAAGTCTTCTAATTCACCAAAGTTCACTGATTCCAAGTAAGTTTTAAAGGTACAATAACACAAAATATTACATTAATTCCATTATTTATTCACAAAACTTCACTAATTTAACAAAAATTTAAAGGTACATTTACTCCAAAATGTTACATTAATATTAACCTATTTACTTGAACTTCTCCGATCCAAAGGAAGTTTGACGTAGGAAACTTGTAAAATTCATGTTTGTATTTTTGCCACTAGAATCTTGAACAGGCTAAAATGTTTCACATATTTCATCCACTCACGACAGTCAAATCAATAAATTGATGATGACAATCAAATTTCAGTTATTTTCTGCTTTATTGATTATATAAAAGTAATTTTATTATTAATTAAATCTAAGCTAATTAAAAACATAAAACGTGTAAAAAAGATCGTAAATCGTCATCATGAAAATATATTATGAGTATTATCTTCTGTTAAAAATCCTAAATGCCTGGCCTAAGTGGAAACTAACAAACACACAGGGGTCCCAAGATCTCCGCAAGTCACAGGAGTCTCAAGGAAATCAGGAAAGCCTTCCGCACTTCTGTGTACAGTATATTATTAAAGATAAAAAAATTATTCAGATATATGTGAATTATGCTACAAATATACCAATATGGAAAGAATCTAAAAATTACTAAACAACAGCCTCAAATTGCTTGTAATTGGTCACTCATTCCGGAAATGTTGATGGATGGGAGGGATGGTTGGAACTAATCTGTCATTATTAATCTTCTTTATTGTTTACAAATCATTTAATTCTATGAAAATAACATGCTATGCATGTCACAGGAAAGACCAAGATAGACGGGTGAAAGCCAAAATATGTAAATTGAACACGGCATCACCAAGGAAGATTACACAATAAAGCCAAGTACCACTGCGCCCGACGTACTTCTATGAAGAACGCAACACCACGATGCGAGCGCAACATGTCGTTTTTAATGACAATCAATATTAATCTAATTACTATACTTCATCATCACCTTCCTAATAGAGTACATTCGCACAATGCTAAATGTTATGCAGCACTGCTCTCTCCCTCTTTATTATTATCTTGATGTAATTTTTTTGTAAATATTACACCCACTTTAGAGATATTATTTTTGCATGTTCAAAGAAATTATATTACTTTTTAGGGTCAATAACTTGGCCTATGGTCTCTTGCCTGCATCTGTCAAAACAGATTTGTGTAGGAAGGAAATAGACAGAAATAGTGAAGGCTTTGTTGTCAAAGTTAAGGTGGATTTTCACCTTAATTCCAGGTTGACCACTTGCCAAATAAAAAAAATCTCTTGCATTTAGAATTTCCTTATTAATTTTCGTCGTTATGGCATTTATTTCACAGAAACAAGCATATTTTAGTCCAGTTCTATCTCTGATTGCTTTAAAGATGTACTGTCCAAATACCAAAAAAAAAACACATAAATATCTTTTTTTGAAATTAACTTGCTCATTTTTTTTGATACATACAATTATTGACTTTTAAAAATGTGTTTGATTTCAAAAGTACTTTTTATGTTTTCTTGTAATTTTCAAGTCAAGGAACAATACAATTTTAAGCGCTTCTTTCATCGATTACAATCTAAATTTTTTAAGTCTGATTTTTATTTTGAAAAAAAAAAGCCACAAACAAACCAACAACTTTAAAATGAAATTTGACATGAAAAGTACAAGATATGATAAACCAATAAATTTGCTCTGTAAATTTACGTTATGTATTATTATATTTATTATCATTTACATATTTACAATCATCATAATTCCATCTAGTCTTGTTTTATAGATGTTATAATAGCAATTGATTTATCATGTATTTTCTTCAACAATTTTTACAGATTCTAACAATTCCGGTTAGGCTTGTATTTTTTTTTAAATGTTGATGTCTGGGATATTTTGGAGGTTTTTGTGATTACAGTAATTGAATAATGGATATTCTTGGAATACTTCCCGAAAATTGGAGGAGGTTGTACTTTGCTAGTATGGAACGAATGACAGTGGATATAAAGTTGCAGGCAGTTGACATAGTCTTCAGATTGTAAAAAAACAAAAAGATGCACCTTGAATATTACTACTGTAGATTGATATATAGGGACCTACAAATCAAGCACAATACCTCAATAGAACATCAGTAGAAACAAAATTACACACAGACTGCCAGCATACTGCACACACAAACAAAAGTATATTAACCAACTATAGGTTTTCAATAAATACGACTAAAATGTAAGAATTTAATTTTCCTGTGAAGGTTTTCAAAAAGCAAGCCAAAATATGAATGCATGTTAATTTCTTCTTTTTATTCGCTTAATAAAATGTGTTGATTAATTGTTCAGCTGGTTAGTATCGGCAAAGACTTTGACAGTTGCTAATTTTTTTCAAAATCTCTGAAGGGTCACACTAAGTGTTAGCTTACTTTCCCCAAATCCCTAGACATTAGCCTCACACTTATACCTTGCATGTAACATGATCCAGAAATAAACTGGAATTAAATTTGGTATTAAAAAGCCTGGTTTCTATTGGTGATAATGATCTAGAGGAAATCAAGAAACGTAATATTGGTCCTGTAGTGTTTAAATTGAGAACTCTGACACAGTGTGGCGTAACAGCTATGGGCTCTCACATGCTTAAGCCAAGGGCCCCATGTCTTAAGGGGGCTTTGGGATATTTGTCAGCAGAAAGCAGGGCCTTTTTAATGTGTAGATTATAAACATAAAAAAACTTCCTTAGAACATGAAATATTTCAAAGTGGGTGGGGCTTTCCCCAAGGTAGTAGGGCCTGAAGAAGTCTTAGCCAGGGGCCTCAGACCTCTTTGTTACTCCACTGCTCTGACATGAATGATAGATGATTTATTGATTGAGTATCAAATATTCTCGCATATAATACTTATACGTGCAACACATACAAATTTTTTATTTTTAAATCATGTTTGTCTTTATCTTACGTATCGTCCAATATATGCAAATTAACTACTGAAATGAAGCTGCTAACTGTTAGTTATGAACACAACTAATGCAGGGAAATAAGATTTTATATAACATTTTGCTTTTATTTAATCATCATCAGGAACAATGCATATATACATAGAGACAAAATTATATATATATATTCCAATTTTACTAGAAATCCTAATTAATATGCATTTATTTAAATGAGGCAATTATCCAATCCAATTTTTGGTAGATGCAATATCAAGTCCATAAAGAGCAGTAAAAAGTAAGAATTCTGGCAATGAAACAGAAGGGGG